GTGATGTGGTGGTGGTGGCCGTGAACTACCGATTAGGACCCTGGGGTTTCCTATATGCCGGCACCGAAGACGCAGCTGGAAATATGGGACTCTATGACCAATTGCTTGGACTTAAATGGGTTAACGAAAACATCGAGCAGTTCGGAGGCGACCCCAAGAAAATCACCATTTTTGGAGAGTCAGCCGGTAATTGAGTACATTATGACCTTTAATTAAAAGTTTTTAGTGAACTACTTCTAAGAAATAAAACTTAGATTTAGTTTCATATGAAGTGCTGATTACAGGAAAAAATCAGTGCAAATGTTATCAATTGTGTTATAATATCTGTTTGTTTGAAATGTACTAATGCACAGGTAGTATGTCGGTCGGCGCCCATATCTTATCTCCCCTGTCTCGGGGTCTCTACCAGAGGGCTATCTTGCAATCTGGTGCTCCCAACTCGTACTTAGGCAGTGAATCCAGAGAGCAGGGCTACAAAAAGACCTTATTTTTAGCCGAAAGGTTAAACTGTAACACAGCTTCGGGCGCAGACATCGTGGCCTGTCTTAAGCTCAAAACCACGGAACAGATTCTGAATGTATCGAAAACCGCTCGATTGGATGCCAAGAGTTTTGAACCAATTTATGGCGAAGAGTTAATGCCGATTAAGGCTTCGGACGCCTTACAAAATGGAGACTTTAATAAAGACATCGACCTCTTGTTCGGCACCGTTAGCGAAGAGGGCGCCCTCTTTGTTGAGTCTATGTTTGAAGACAAATTGAGTCCAGACATCAAGAACCCGCCCATCAATGTGACCATTTGTAATCAAGTGATAACTTTTATGGTTATGGCTTTCGGTGAGACAATGGATTACGGCAAAGAAGTGGCCGATTTCTACCTCAAGGGCCTCAAAGACGACGAGTTCGACAAATTGAGACAAGCGGTCGGCTATGGGTTCGGCGACTATCATATCGCGTGTCCGACAGTACTCTTCGGGCGAGAGTTTGCACTCCACGGCAAAGGAAAGGCCTACGCTTTCAGACTGACATACCCGCCCACAATACCAGTGTTCCAGATGTGTAAGGGATGGATGGGTGACTGTCACGGCGATGATGTGCTCATACTGTTTGGCTTTCCTATTAAACTCAGAGGCATTACATTCACGGAAACTGATTATAAGATCGCTCGCGATA